GGCAACGGTGATTTTCGGCCTCAAAAGTGGGCAACGGTGACTTTTTCGGCCTCAAAAGTGGGCAACGGTGATTTTCCGGGCCTCAAAAGTGGGCAACGGTGACTTTCCGGGCCCCAAAAGTCGGCAACGGTGACTTTCCGGGCCTCAAAAGTGGGCAACGGTGATTTTCCGGGCCTTAAAAGGGGGGCAACGGTGACTTTCCGGGCCTCAAAAGTGGGCAACGGTGATTTTCCGGGCCTCAAAAGTGGGCAACGGTGACTTTTTCGGCCTCAAAAGTGGGCAACGGTGACTTTCCGGGCCTCAAAAGTGGGCAACGGTGACTTTCCGGGCCTCAAAAGTGGGCAACGGTGACTTTCCGGGCCTCAAAAGTGGGCAACGGTGACTTTCCGGGCCTCAAAAGTGGGCAACGGTGACTTTCCGGGCCCCAAAAGTGGGCAACGGTGACTTTCCGGGCCTCAAAAGTGGGCAACGGTGATTTTCCGGGCCTCAAAAGTGGGCAACGGTGACTTTCCGGGCCTCAAAAGTGGGCAACGGTGACTTTCCGGGCCTCAAAAGTGGGCAACGGTGACTTTCCGGGCCTCAAAAGTGGGCAACGGTGAATTTCCTTTTCCCTGAGTTTTATCAAGGTTTTTCAAGGTTTTTCAGAGGTTTTCACTTTTTTTCACGGTTTTTCAATGTTTTTCAGGATGTTTCAGGGCTTTTAACCTTCAATTCTGATGAAGGGCAGCCCCCGCGAAAAATAGTCTTCGGAGACCCCCCCTGGCCTCAAACTCCGACCCCCCCTTGGGAGGGAAAGTTTGCCTCCAAAAACACCCCAAATGAGGGGGACCCCAGGATCGGCCCGGGTCCTTATTAAAAATGCGATTTTTTGGTACTGAAATCGACGGTTCTGGGTGGCCTCGTTTTCTGGGTTTTTGACCACGAGCCTTCACCGATAGGGGCTTCTAATCCGTAGGGTTTAAGGCCCTAAGAGCATAAAGGGCCTGTTGTGGGCCTTAGATTAGATTTCGGGTTTTGGGTCCGTTAACAGCTAACTACTGGGAATGTATTGAGTGAACTTTGTATTTTCTCAATGTTATGGGTTTCTTGGGTGGGTGGGTTTTTTTTCCAACGCTTGACAAGCTGCTTGACTAGTGAATGCTCGGACTTGAGATGCTGAACCCTAAACCCTAAACCCTAAACCCTAAACCCTAAACCCTAAACCCTAAACCCTAAACCCTAAACCCTAAACCCTAAACCCCCCCCCCCAAGAGGCCCTCAAGGCTTGGCGCCGCACACTATCCGATGGCGATCTTGACCTCCGTGGGGGGCGGCCCCGGGAACCCCCCAAAAAAAAGCGAAACCCTCTCAAGCTCTCAAGCCCAAGATAAGCCCTGCAAAATCCGAAACCTCCCTAAGCCCTAAAGATCCCCAAGGGTTTAGGGTTTAGGGTTTAGGGTTTAGGGTTTAGGGTTTAAGCTCTCTAAACCCTAAGTTGAAGCTGGCTGAGGGCTTGGGTTGCCCCGTGTTTAGCAGCCCTCAACCCTAAAACCCTAAACACGTTCAAGCGGACTTAGGAGCTTTAGGGGAGATTAGATTAGGCTTCCCTGGGCTTCAAGGGCTTTCACGAGTTAGGGGGCTGAGGGGAGGTTTAAACTGATGTTTCCAGGGTGTTGGGGTGGAGGGCTTGCGCGGGGTTTGGGGTGGGGGGTGGGGCGAAACTGGGATAAACTCCAAACTATGTTTACATCTGGTTTCTTCTCACGACTTGCGGATCTTGTAGAAACCTCTCTCTTACTACCTACCCGAGGACCTTCCGGCATCACCTAAACCCTAAAAACTAGATCCGTAATCCTTGGCCCGATCCTTAGCCTCAAGCCATGGAGCTTGTGCAGCCCTACTTACTTGCGACCCACCATCCACCCTTAACTTTCAATCCTAAACCCGAAGGCCCTGAAGAGCCTAAGCCCTAAAGAACCCTAAGCCCTAAAAAACCCTAAACCCCCAAAAATCCTGAACCCGAAAATGCCCCCAAAACCCTAGCCCTATAACCCTAAAACACAACCCTACACTCTGAAGCTTAAACCCCGAAAGCCCCACGGGCTCCCAGGCGCGCTAGCCGCTGCCGCGCGCGCGCCAACTCCTCGGGCGGTAAGAGACCTTGGTCGGATCCTATACTCCCCTTAGAACCTTAATAAAAATATTATTTGTTAATATTCTCTTGGGTTTTATATAAACAAAAATAAAAAATAATTCCCAAGGGGGATATAGGGATCAAAGTTTATTGAGAAGAGAGGGGCTGAGGGTTTTAGGGTCTTTAGGGCTCCAGGCTGTTAGAGTGATAAGTCTGTCACTGGCCGGGATTTGTGATCTCCTGCGAGAAGTGGGTAGCTGCAGCTTGGTAACTCCTGTTCAGGAATGCACTTCCTTCGTTTCAACGCAACCACCTTCGTCCCTGCTGGTGACTTGATGGCACTCAAGTCGCTTTATAAGTACAACACTCGGGTTAGAATCACCTGTACCTAACTGCTAAGTCCAAGACATCCATGTCCTCCAAGTGAAACCTGCGAGACCTTGTTAGGAACTCAAGCAGCACCAACACCTGCACAGTACCGATACCGGCACGGGGAGGGGGGGGGGTACACTACAAGTTTGCTTGGTTTGTTTTTGTGGGGATCCTGTTTGTCTAAGGTCTTTTCTCCGGACAGTTCAAGGCTTGCCAAGAACCTCCTCATGCCGAAAGACTGAAGCAAACCCTCCAATCCAGCTGAAACAGCAAACCCCGAAAAAAAGAAAAACTGAACACTGACATGCCCCCAAAACCCCGGAAACCTGCGAAAACACGGGATGCCCTGCATTGCTTAGTGGGGCTTGAGGGGGAACACTCCAGCAATTGGCCCACTGGGGTCCCAGCCCAGGAACCTCTCTATGTGGGAGTTTACGAAAACAAGGGACCCCTATAACAGCCCCCCAATCCCCGATTTATTTCGGAATCCCCCATTTGGTGACCAGCATGGACTAATCAAGACCCTGAGCCGGGCGCTAATCTGCTCGGTGAGCGTCGGGCGCACAAACTCGAGATCCTGCGAATCGGCCGAGAGCAGCGGCGACAACAGCCAAACCCTAAACGACTTCAGCCCTCAACCCACACTGTGCCTCTACATATCCCTGCCTTGTGCCTACCTTTAGCTACCCACGATAGCGTCCTCGAAGCCCGAAACCCGAAACCCTGTAACCCTAAACCCTAAACCCTAAACCCTAAACCCTAAACCCTAAACCCTAAACCCTAAACCTCTGAAGGAGGACGTGAAGGCGCAGGCTGCAGATTTAAGAGGGCCCAGCCATGCAGGCCTAGGCTGGCTAAGCATCCAAGCAATGGGTTTAGGGTTTAGGGTTTAGGGTTTAGGGTTTAGGGTTTAGGGTTTAGGGTTTAGGGTTTAGGGCTTGAAGGCTTTAGGGTGTGGGGTTGAGGGTTTAAAAACGGTTTGGTGGTTCACGGCTTCATCGCGATACGTAGCGGGTAAGAGTCCCGTCTTTGGCACAAAAATGGAGCACAAATATGGAGCAGGGGGAACCCAAGGGACTGTGGGGTGTGAAGGTGTGCGGAGTTGAAGGCTTGTATGGGTACACAAGTTTAGCTTGCCGCTTCAGAACTTAAAAACCGAGGAGCCTACCCGTAGCCCAGTTTGACAAAACTCAACCCAAAACCTCACGCTATCAACCCCTGAAACCTTGAAAGAAACGCCGCCTAAATTGTGCCTGAAGATAAACCACAAACCCTCAGGCCAGAAGCCTTCTCCTCCCCCTCCCTCCCGGGCGGAGAAAAAACTCTCATTGGATAGAAACGACAAGCCTACGCATAATCCGTCTGTGCTGGGCTTCTACAAATACTACTACCCCCAAGCCCTAAACCATCAACCCTGAACCTTAAACCCTAAACTGTAACCCCTAAACCTTAAGGCCTAAACCCAGGAGAAACACACCCTGGGCGCCGGGCGCCCACGTTGCAGGCGAGCGCGCCTAAGGCCACGAGAACGGCTTGCCTCTCGGGCGCCTGACCCAAGGGGATCTACGTTGGGGGGTTTAGGGACTTTAGACGTTAGGGTCTTAAGGGCACATGGTCAAGGGTTTAGGACTTGGAGTTTAACGCTTCGGGGTTTCAGAGGCTCAGTGTTCAGGGCTTAGGGTTCAAGAATCAGAGGATTCTGCCTTGGCTCGAACATTTGCACCCTCGGGCGCCCTAAACTCCAAACCCCAAACCCTAAGCACCTAACCCTAAACCCTAAGGCTTTCGCGCTATGGAGCCCGGAAGACCAGAGTGCAGTTGCAGCTTTAAGACTTTCGGACTTGGGGTTTCAGGGCTTCGGATCTATTCGGGCTGAGGGTTGAGGGATATATGTTTGAGAGGGGGTCTCAAACTCACAGCTGACTTGCTTGAAGGCCCACGTGTATTTCAGGCACGGCTGTAAGTATCGTAGCTGTATTGGCTGTACCGCAAGGCACAAGTATCCTACTGATAACTATCCAACCTCAAGTGCCCAGTGGGCCCCAGTACCGCTTATTTTGAGGACTATGGCTGTTTAGGGTCTAGGGTCTAGGGTCTAGGGTCTAGGGTCTAGGGTCTAGGGTCTAGGGTCTAGGGTTTAGGGTTTAGGGTTTAGGGTTTAGGGTTTAGGGTTTAGGGTTTAGGGTTTAGTAAACCCCTTTCGGTTGCCATCTCCACCCGCGTCACAGCTGCAGGGTTCTTAAGGTTTTCTGGGCGTTTTTTTTGCTCCTAGTTTCTACGGTCCATAGGAGTTTTCGGGTTCTTGGTGCTTTTGGGGGGTTCTTAGGTCCATGGGGCTCGTTGCGCTACTCGCTTCTAGGGTCCTTACGGTCCTTGGAGCTCTTTGTGTTTTAGGGTTCTGAGGACTTCTGACTTAGTGCTTGAAAGGCTCTTCAAATCTAGGGTGCTCGGGGCTCTTTCCTTTTGTTTGCATTCTTTCTTTGCCCGCCAGGACAAGGTGGCGTGCCGGGTTTGCCTATCCCGGTTGCTGGTTGCTTCTCGCTTTGGCATGCCAAAGGCTAAGGTTGCCAAGGCTTGACGTCACTGATCTTCCCCAGCCAATGCAATTGTTTGATGAATAATCGTCAATGACATGCAAATATCCTGCGCCAGCGGAAGCTCGGCGAAGAAGTCTTCATGGAGGAGCAAGACTTTGCTAACCACTCCGTTGAATTTCGAGTGTGCCGGATCTCTCCACTCTCAAGAAGTCCGTTCACATCAACATACGGTTGCAGCACATAGCTTGCGCCAACATCGTGATTCGATGGCTCATTGCCACGGCGGTCTCTGCCAAGAAGTCACGCCACTGAGCGGGAATGCAAGGACCCCTGAACAACGTAGCAAGCTGCCCCAGTTGTCAGGCGCGGGGCCATGAGGATGCCTAGGAAGTGCCAGCGTCACATGATCCTGAACTAATCACCCTAAACCCTAAACCCTAAACCCTAAACCCTAAACCCTAAACCCTAAACCCTAAACCCTAAACCCTAAACGGGGGTATTGGGCTCTCTGAGTACCCGCGCCTCCAAGCGACTGAGGTTGCTTTCGTCGAAGCCGTTCGTTACCAGAAAGCGGCAAGTCAACCTCAAGCTGGCGACTCCAGGGTTTACGGAGTTTAAGGGGTTACAGGGTTTAGAGAGCAGGGCTTGAAGTCTACTTGAAGGCTCCTGGCTGGTGTTACCTATGGTTGAAAGTGCTGGCTAGGGTTCGACCTAGCGTCTCCCTAGGTTAAGGAGGGTGGAACATGCAACTGTAAACCCGAGTAGGCCTCTTCCCGGAAATCCAGGTCCAGGGTCGAACGGAACGTCCAGGGTCGAACGGAACGCAACAGAAGCAAGCAGGGACAACATCCGTAGGGTTTGAGGGTTCAGGTGTTTAGGACCCTGAACCCTCATGACGCGCGAATATGAACCCTAGACTTCCCTAACCCCTAAACCCTAAAACCCTGAAACCCTATACTCCCTAAAACCCTAAACCTTCTGAACCCCAAGGCCGATAAGGACCTGAACCCCCAGGGCCAAGCCCAGTTGCACTCTCCAGACCGACCTAGTCAAAAGCCATGCAAAACTAGGACCTCCAGTCGCTGAAGTCCAAAGCAAATACACCCTAAACCCCATAACCCTGGAGCTCTAAACTAACCCCAAGCCTTGGAGACCTCAACCTTATAAAGCTACTGAACTCACAGAACTAACAGACCCTGAAACCTGTTGGCGCTCCAGACTGAGAGAGAAGCACAATCGCTTCGCAGCGAAAGCTAGCCCATGTTCGGGATGGAGTCTTGCTTTCAGGTGGGATCGGGGTGCAGACGCAGTTCAGAAGAAAAAAAGATGACTTGGTGACCAGATGTGACCAGCACATCACGGGCATGAACGGGGTCAGCATGGGCTCATCACGCAATTACCTGCACCAAAACAAGCACCTTTAAAAATCTGAGATCGCTATAACGTATACGCTAAATCAGTCGCACCACCCCGAGCCCTAGAGTCCTCAACCCTAACGTCTGAAGCAAAACAAAGCCCTTAAACTCTTCAAGCCCTAAACACAAGCTCTGAATCTGGACTCCCTCCCCTTGGACCCATAGTCAAAAGTACTACTATGTCTAATAATGCCTGTTGGGTTTTTTATCACCCTAAGCCCAAAAAAACCCTAAACCCTAAACCCTCAACCATAAACCCTAAACCTAAACCCCCAAGACGAATTTAAAGCGCCTAACTGTCGAGCGATTCCGCACAAAAAAAACCCTAAACCCTACAGTATCTCCTATAAGGAACTGCTGTAGAGACAGGCCAAAGCTCGGACGTCTCCCTCAAGAGGCCCCGGCGTAAAATGATCCTCAGAACATCCTTCCGGCCTCGAGCTGCGGGCTTTGGGGTTCGTGTTTTCTTCTTCTTCTTCTTCTTCTTCTTATTCTTCTTCTTCTTATTCTTCTTCTTCTTTCTATTACTATTATTATCATTATTGTTATTAGTTGTGTTTTTTAAGGATCTTTTTGGGGGTTTTAGGGGTTTCAGGGCTTTTGGGGCAGGGATATAGGGACTTAGAGCGTAGGATTTTTTTTATCAGCTTTGGGTTCAGGGATTCAGGGGTTTTAGGTCTTGGGGGATTTAGGGGGTTTTTGGGGCTTAGACGTCTCTGGAGGGTTTAGAGCTGCCCTCTTTGTTCGGAAGGGGTTCGAGGTTTAGGGTTTAGGGTTTAGGGTTTAGGGTTTGGGGTTTGGGGTTTAGGGTTTAGGGCATTGTTTCCGTCTTCGCGGGTCTTGGGGACTCGGGTGCTTGCCGTGACGGGATGAACGCTTACTAGTTATGTAGATATACGTCTACATGCTTGACAGGTGGGGCGAACAGCCAAGCCTCAATCTTCAGGGCTTTAGGGTTTATAGACCCTAAACCCTAAACCCTAAACCCTAAACCCTAAACCCTAAACCCTAAACCCTAAACCCGAATTAGTCTAAATCCCTACGCCCCAGAAAGCTTCGGGTTCCTGGCTGAGGCTTGGCAGAGCTTAGGCTCCTGGACCTGCTCTCGGCCTTCAACCGCCAGCCCCAAGATTTTAGGGTTTAGGGTTTAGGGTTTAGGGTTTAGGGTTTAGGGTTTAGGGTTTAGGGCGCCAGCCCTGTACCCTTTCAGCACTAAATCCCTGAACACCCTATAAACCCCCCCCAAACCCTGAACGGAGCCTAACCCCCCAAACCCTGAACCCTCAACCCTAAACCCTGAGCCCTAAACCCTAAACCCTGAATCCTCAACCCTAAACCCTCCCTGAGGGTTCTCAACCCACATCTGGCGGCCCGGCTGGCCACTTTCTTGCACCAGCGCCGCCGCCAAGCAGGCGCAGCCTCGGCAGCTGCACCATTGAGCTATCCAGGATGGGCGATTCGGCCTTGCAATCCCCCATCGTCAACCCTATAGAGGGCCTTTTTTAGGGGGTTATGGGGGTGTGACAGCCCATCCTGGATAGAACCACACACGTGAATCTGCAGATAAAGGTATTTGACCATCAGCAATTAAAATGGCATTTGTGCTTATGCCTGTTAAGGATGCATCTGTGGGTTTAGGGTTCAAGAGGGGGGGGGGGCCTCTGAAGCCTGTTGGGTAGGGTCGTTTCTGTTTTTTTTTTTTTTTTTGTGTGGGGGGGGGGGGGGGGGGGGGGGGCGCAGGGTTTAGGGCATTTTTCGGTGATTTTGGAGTCTCAAGACACAAAACATGGGTTTTGACGGGTCCTTGGGAGCGGAGCTCCGGCTAGAACTGCAGCTCGAACAGTGTAGGGCCTTTTCAAATTTGGGAAAACTGCACCCATGAACCTCCAAGTAAAGTCCCCTGAACCACCCTAAACCCCAAACCCTGAACTGCCGAAAGCCCTGAACCCTGAACCCTAAACCCAAGGCTTCAGACCCTGACGACCTTGAACTGCTACAGCACCGAGCACTAACCCCTGAAGGGGTTTGGGGCTCACACAACATGCCAGGAAAAACCTCGGCTCTCACGACCTTGGGTCCGACAGCTGTAGTTTGCTGAACTGCCAACGATGCATCTCGCACGACCCACTTGCAACAAAACCTTAGCCACTCTGAGATGCCATGAGTTGCCCAAAAGGCGGTGTCTATCGCATGGTGCCTCCAGCGGATCAGCCATCTCACCCGGCTGCTCTGTGACCATCGCGGCCTCATGGTCATTCCCACTGCGCGTAGTGCCGGCCCGTATGTAGCCACCGCTGATGCCTCGCGGGCCTCCCTACCCGCTTCTGTGGGTGCTGGTCAAGCAGTGCTCCGCTAGAGCCGTCGAGGATCTTAGGGTGTTGAAGGACAAACCCTTCAGCTTTCGCGGCTAAACATACCCCAAGGTCCTAAGACCCTAAGCCCTAAATTTCAGCGAGTTCAACCTCAGGCCACGTCTCGTCAAGAGGTCGCGCTGACTGCAAGCTTCAGCTGTGTGCAAGGCCACTGCCTGCTTAGGCGGTTTCTAAGGCTTTTAGGGTTTTAGGGGGTTTTGTCGTTTCGGGGTCAAGGGGTGCTAGGCATATTGCAGCTTTAAGTCTTTGATAGCTTGGCTTTTTCAGCCTTTTCAGTTCTAGAGGTTCGTTGTCTCTACGTTTGGCTTTTTGGACTTCTTCTTCGCTCAGTCTCGCGCCCTCCCCCTCCAGAAACACTGCCTAGAGACACAGAAACGCAACCCATGGCCCATGGCGCGGGATTGCCCTAATGTTGACTTCACAATAGGAATTCCCGCCGCAATTATAAAATCCAGCTGCCAGGACACAATAATGTAGCCCGCCACAATTATAAAATCCAGCCCGGAATATTCTTCTAAAAGTGATCCCCCAGAAGCTCGCAGTAGAGGCTCACTTAGCCCACCGTGGTGGCACCGGGACAGCTAGACCTACCAGGATTTAGGCGGATATTATTGAGGAGGCCCTGGCCGGAGAGATTGATCAATGAAGGGGGGGGGGGGGATTTATTAATGCGAAGTCAACATTAAACCCTACACCCTACACCCTAAACCCTAAACCCTAAACCCTACGGCTCGTGCCCGAGGCCTCCAGCAAGCTTCCCAGCTTGTCGGCCGCGCAGAATACCTCACGAGGCGCGGCCACGGAACTTGCGAACTTGGGAACTTCGGAACTTGAGGTTTAGGGTTTAGGGTTTAGGTGGTTAGGAGGTTCAGGGTTTCAGGGTTTAGTGGCTTGAGAAGTCAGTGGGGCAAGGGGAAAGGGGTCTAGGAAGTGGAGCCTCGCTGTTTGGCGGGTTTATAATAGGATTTAGGGCTCAACCTGGCGAGGATAAGGGCACTCGTCAGTCATCGAGTATGGTTTCTCCACTTAACAAAACTATCCAGGAACCTTTCAAGGCAGGAAAGGTTCCTGGGTAGTTCTGTTAGCTTTGGTCTAACGTACGGTCTTTTTCTAGTGGGGGAGGGGGGGGGATCTCAATTATGGTACTTGTACTCATCAACTCTATACCCCTAAACCCCAAAATTTTGTCGAAACCCACACCCCGGAGCCCCGAACCTGAGCCACAGCGCAGCTTAGCAGGCGGTGCTTGCAAATGTCTGGCATTCCCTTGGGCCCGTTTCTCTCCAAACCCCCCAAAAAAACGAAAGCCCTAAACCCTGAAGACCCGAAACTCTAACCCTAAACCCTAGACCTGAAACCCTGAAACCCCTGAGCCTAAACCCTAAACCCTGAAACCCCTAAAAAACTCCTGAAAAACCCTAAACCCCCAGACCCGTGAACCCTCAAAACCTTGCGCCGGCCCACGCGGGAGCGCAGGCGCTGGAGGGGGTCCGTCGCATCGTCGGCAGGGGGAGGGCCACGGGTGGCCACCTGCCAGGAAGCTCGTTTGAAGGCTCAAGCCTTCAGAGGGGAAGGCAACCCTAAAGGTCTAGGGTTTAGGGTTTGGGGTTTAGGGTTTGGGGTTTAGGGTTTAGGGTTTGGGGTTTGGGGTGCAGGGGTTAGGGTTTGGGGTTTGGGGTTTGGGGTTTGGGGTTTGGGGTTTGGGGTTTGGGGTTTGGGGTTTGGGGTTTGGGGTTTGGGGTTTGGGGTTTAGGGTGAAAACACTGAACCCTAGACCCCGCCACTCGGGACCGGTTATCAAACTGCAGGTCGCTTCTTTTTGAGACTCCGGCGTGAATACGTGCACCTGAATCTCCAGGTGCAGGCTCTTCGTCGAGGTGCAGGGCGCCGGAAGCACTCATGAGTCGGGTTTGGGGTTTGGGGTTTGGGGTTTTGTGGGTTTAGGGTTCAAGGTTTAGGGTTCAAGGTTAGGGTTCAGGGTTTAGAGTGGGGTTTGGGGCGGGTTTATCCCGGCGCCTTCAAGAGTTCTGAGGAGGGTGTGCACCCAAGAATGCGTTTGAAGATGGCTTCTTGTAGCTAGAGCCTGAAACAGAAGCCCACAGCAATGATGCGCTATTACAACTCCGACGGAAGCTGGGGAGTACCTGGGCCCTCCCTCAAAAATGAGTCCTCTCGAAGGGCGGGCCTCTAAGCCCCATAGACCCTAAACCCTAAACCCTAAACCCCAAACCCTGAACCCTGAAGCCTGAACCCTGAACCCTGAACCCCTGCCTGCCTGAACTAAGAGGGAGGCCAGAAATTGGAGAAACTTTGCACCAATCGCTGCACCTTTCACGTTGCGCCGCCCGGCCGTGTGATCATGGGGCTTGGGCTCATCATGTGCTAGACATGCTAGAATGTTCAGGAAGAGCGTGACAGATCCCAGAACTTGTCCTCGTAAGCAAGGGTCGTATGTAATATGGCAGCTTGCACCAGAGACTGGATTTACATCCTGCACCCAGAACCCTAGCAGCAGTGAAAATGTAGGTTGTGCATATTCAAAAAGATCGGTTGGTTGTATACTCTTTATTTACTTTACCATTGCCCCCACAAGAAGAGCTTCAATCCCCCCACCATAAAGCGGCTCGACATACCACCTCCCCCAATGTGAATAGGGTTTAGGGATTTAGTGTTCTGGGATTGAGAATGGGAATGGGTCTTAGGGATGAGGGTCATAGGGGTTCTGGGACTCAGGGTCTTAGGGGTTTAGGGCTTTAGGGTTTAGGGACTGAGGATTTGAGGGATTCAGGGTTTAGGGGTCTGTAGGGCTTAGGGGTTTACATACGCCACAACGTCGGCGCATCTCCTCCACCAGCAGCGACATCAACATGGGGTTGAATGGAATATCTCGTGCAATGACTTCAGGATTCGATATCCGCTCCTTCCGCTGCTTCTCTCTTTGCTTGCGATCACGGTTGGTCGTGAACGCCTTTGCGGAAGAATCGTGGCGGATCTTCATCGCTGGACGGAAAGTGACGTGTTCTAATCGCGAAATCACTTTCTAGCGCCCGATAGCAAATCCCCTAATGTTAAAGCCCAAGCCCTTAAGGTCGTAAATCGTACAATCTAAGCTGCGCGTGTCGAAGCGGACCAGCTCGAAATCTGCATCTCCAACCCTTGACCTCCTCGACCCGAGGCCCTGCCCAGGCGTGCGCCACGTGCCCGCCCCAGGGGTCTGGCCCCCAGTGACCTTATAAGGATATGGGAACATGTATTGAAGGATTGGACAACTCTGGGACTAGAGGACTGGCCGAACAAAACCCCTCCACATCCTACACCCTGTTCTAAAGAGTCCTCGAAACGCAAAACACATCCAAGATGCCATGGGGAGACCAAGCTTTCCGTCGTTCTGCATCCGACGTGGCTGTGGGGTCTTGCGGGGCTTGGGAATTTAGGGTTTGGATCTGGGTTTAGGGTTTTGATCTCGAATTTTGGGGATTTAGGGTTTTAGCGATTGACGGCTCGGGGATGCAGGACTTAGGGATTTTTTATGCTTAGGGCAACCACCAACCCAAGTTGACCCCTAAACCCCGAGCGCCACCACCCTGGTATTCAATGGTATGAGCCATACACTGCAGTACATTACGTATGGGCGGACGGGGTCGGCATGAGACGCTTCTATACAGCGAATATAAGGACACGAACTGTCAGGGTTAGGACTCCTTTCACAACCCGAAACCCTAAAAACCCTAAACACCCTAAAAAACCCTAAAAACCCTAAACACCCTAAAAAAACCCTAAAAAACACCAAAAACCCCAAAAACGCCTAACAACCCTAACAAAAACCCTAAAAACCCTAAAAACCCTAAAAACCCTAACCAACCCTAACCAACCCTAAAAACCCAAAACAAACCCTAAAAACTCTTTAAAAAACCCTAAAAAAACCCTGAACACCCTTAAAAAACCCTAAAAACCCCAAAAACCCTAAAAGCCCCCAGCCCACCACTGCCTTCCGCGGGGCTGCGCCCGCCAAGCGCGAGGGCGACGGACAAGGAAGCCTCGGAGGATTTCAGGGTTCCAGTGCCGAGTGAGGGTTTAGGGTTTAGGGTTTAGGGTTTCGGGTTTCGGGTTTCGGGTTTCGGGTTTCGGGTTTAGGGTTTAGGGTTTAGGGCTTAGGCTCACTACTGCCAGAGGTGCACCCAGGTTTTCCGCAGAGTTTAAGGTAGAAATCCCTCAGAAACTGGAACTCTGCCTTCGAGAGCCTGGATCCAGGATACCCCGCAAAGCCCGAGCCCTGCAACTGCAACCCAAAGCCCTGAGCCCTAAACCCCTAAACCCCTAAACCCCTAAACCCCTAAACCCCTAAACCCCTAAACCCCTAAACCCCTCAACCCCCTGAAATCCCAAACCCTAAAAACTCGCCTGCACTCTTAGGATGGCCCTTAAAACCCTCTGAAGAATACTCCGAAAATTTGATCCTCTTAAACCCAATGAGGGAAAACATGAAAAAAAACCTAAACCTAAACCCTAAACCCTAAACCCTAAACCCTAAACCCTAAACCCTAAACCCTAAACCCTAAACCCTAAACGGCCTACCGAGACGTCTAAACCCGGACCGTATTCCTTTGTTCGAAGCTCACCTCCAACACGCCCGTCTCCACCATCGCAGCCGCCAAGACCTCCACCGCAGCTTTAGGTTGTTCCAGGGGTTAGAGCTGGAGGGTTTAGGGTTTAGGGTTTAGGGTTTAGGGTTTAGGGTTTAGTCATGCCGAAGAGTGGCGAACGTGGGCAGATACTGAACCCTACATCCGAATCCCCAAAACAGAAACACAAAGCTGGTTGGAACCCTATATACACTCACCATTTCCTGTAAACTGCAGACCCTGAACCCCTTTAAAACAAAAACACAACCTTACATCCAAGGCTGGAGGTTGCGGGATCCCGAAGCGTCGCCTCCATGTAGAAGCTTAGGGCGCGGTTCTGCTCATGGATGTCGCCCTGACGAGTCTGTGGTGCCTAGAACCCTAAAACCCCAAGGGGGGGGGGGGGGGTGGGGCGTAGGGTTTAGGGTTTAGGGTTAAGGGTTAAGGGTTGAGGGTTTCGGGTTAAGGGTTTAGGTTTTAGATTTTAGGGTTTAGGGTGTAGGGTTTTGGGACCTATACCACAACACAGTCCTCGAGCAACTCCAAGCTCCCAACACCCTAAAACACTCAAGAAGCCCTAAGTGTCCCAGATACCCCCCAAGACCCGAAAGCCCTGCAATGCCCAACATACCATGAAGCCCTAGGCAGGTCTCATAGGCCTGGGGCTTAAAAGTTAGAATCTGTATGAATAATCATTCCGACCCCTATATTGCAGTGGAGGGCTTAAGGTTAATTGGCTTAAGGTTAATTTTAGGGTTTACGGTTCTGGCGTTTGGGGCATTTTAGAGCGCAATTTCGGGTGCAGGGCTTCAGGGTTCAGGGTTCAGAGTTTAGGGTTTAGGGTTCAGGGCTTCAGGTTTCAGGACTTGGGGTGTCTTGGTGCACCTTTTTTTGGGCCCTTTTGTTTTTTTTTTTTTTTTTTTTTTATGGGGGGGGGTTTGGGTTAGGGTTTGGGGTTTGGTTTGGGGTTTGGGGTTTGGGGTTTGGGGTTTGGGGTTGGGGGTTGGGGTTTGGGGTTTGGTGTTTGGGTTTGGGGTTTGGGGTTTGGGGTTTGGTGGTTTGGGTTTTGACGTTTGGGGTTTAGGTTTTAGGGTTTAGGGTTTAGGGTTTAGGGTTTAGGGTTTAGGGTTTAGGGTTTAGGGTTTAGGGTTTAGGGTTTAGGGTTTGGTGTTTGGGGTTTGGGGTTTGGGGTTTGGGGTTTGGGGTTTGGGGTTTGGGGTTTGGGGTTTGGGGTTTGGGGTTTGGGGTTTGGGGTTTGGGAGGGGTTTGGGGTTTGGGGTTTAGGGCTTAGGGTTGGAGAGGAAAATGGAGGTTGTTCTCTGCTTTTCCTCGGCTTTCTAGAAGAAAAGTAGGGCAAAAACATGGGGCAAACAAAAAAGAGGCCAAAAATAAGGGGCCCCCTGTATAAACCAGCCTCAGGCTCCGAGCCTGTGTGGTTTCACGGGTTGCGGTTGCAGTTTTGTTTTTGCTTCGGACTGGTAAGCTTCAGGTATATATGGGCATGTCTCCAAAACTTTTGGTCCCCGCGCCAAATCTGTTCTGAGCTCGGCACACATCTGGATGTTTTATCCCCGGAAGCGCCAGGACAAGCTGCGCAGAGGATTACGAGTTCTCCAACTCATATTGCACATCACCACCAGCAGTGCAACGGATCACACTACGGCCACGGCCGGCGTACTCTTCAAAGCCCCAGGACACAACCGACCCGTTACCCAGGATTGCAGCAAAAGCGTCTTCCGTAGATTGAATCTGCCGCACGTCCGTCAGCTCATGCTGCACAACACCGGTGTCACCACCACAGTCGTTATCACCCCAGGCCACAACAGACCCATCACCCAGAAGGGCAGCAAAAGCACTGCCAGTTGCTTGGATCTGCTGCACGTCCTTCAGCTTATCCTGGACATGATCGCTGTGGCGACCAAGGTCAAAGTCACCGCCCCCCCACGTCACAACGGACCCATCATCCAGAATGGCAGCAAAAGCACCAGCAGACGCTTGGATCTGCTGCACGTTCTTCAGACGAGCTTGCACTTTGCTGCTATCAGTACGCCCCCATGTCACCACTGACCCATTGGCCAGAATGGCAGCAAAAGCACTGTCAGCCAAACAACAAGAGCCGCAGACAACTTGGACCTGCTGCACGCCCTTGAGCTGATCCTGCACAGAACCGCTGTCGCCGCCATGCCCTTCATATCCCCAGGTCATAACGGACCCATCACCTAGAATCGCAGCAAAGGCCCCTGCACTAGCTTGGATATGCTGCACGTCCCTCAGCTGATCCTGCGCAGCACCGCTGTCGCCGCCAAACGCTTCATCTCCCCAGGTCACAACAGTCCCATCACCCAAAATGGCAGCAAAAGCCCTTTCAGTAGCTTGGATATGCTGCACGTCCTTCAGCTGATCCTGCACCACACCGCTTTCGCCACCATACCCTCCATCTCCCCAGGTCACAACGGACCCATCAACCAGAATAGCGGCAAAAGCCCTTTCAGTAGCTTGGATATGGTGCACGTCCTTCAGCTGATCCTGCACAGCACGGCTGTCGCCGCCATACCCTCCAGATCCCCAGGTCACAACGGACCCATCAACCAGAATAGCAGCAAAAGCTGCTGCAGTAACTTGGATACGCTTCACGCCCTTCAGCTGATGCTGCACAGCACTGCTGTCGCCGCCAAACGCTTCATCTCCCCAGGTCACAACGGATCCATCACCCAAAATGGCAGCAAAAGCCCTAGCAGTAGCTTGGATATGCTGCACGTCCTTCAGCTGATTCTTCACAGCACTGCTGTCGTTGCCATACCCTCCATCTCCCCAGGCCACAACGGACCCATCACCCAGAATAGCAGCAAAAGCACCAGTGTTGCTTTGAACGCAAACCTCTCTGATCTGCAAGGTCAGCACATCGCCGTTCTGCAACCCAGATTTCTCCAGCGTGGTTGCTCCGTCCAGAACTCCGGAGGAGTGGAGGAGTCTTCCTCTGCCAACTGCCAAAACCCTCTGTGCCCTGCTCTTCAAGGCTTCTACAGACTCATTTGGTTCTGCTTCCAGTGAAATTGTCCTGCCACTTAGCAGGCTCACCTCAATCGTAATGGGCATGAATCTCAAACGGCTGTATAGCGGTACTATAACTATTGTATTGCCTAGTTGTGATACCTATTGGGACGTGACGTCATCACGAGGAATCGGACCCGAGCATGGTTCCAAGCCTTTCCAGCAGACAAATCATCAGTGTGGTTTCTTGCGACAGCTTGAACCCAGTATTGTCCTTCAGCGACGAAGTTCAAGATACAAAGCCGCAAAAAAGCGCCAACGCTGACATTGCTTCGCTGGCCTACAGAATCGTTTGAGTTTTGGGGCTTGGCACCCGAAAAACCCA